CTAAGTACAATTTCCTGCATTTAATATTAAAAGTTGGATTACTGCGAAAAATAATTGAATTCTAATTAGGGCCCTGTCTTTGTCATTTTTATGAGGTTTACTTGACGAGAATACGGCCTGTTCTCAAAATGATTATAAACTATAAAAATAATATTTTGCGATTAAAATTTTTTTATGTCTGAATGCAAAACAAATTTTAGCACGTTCGTATGATTATTTTACCAATACTGAGCCCTACGGACCTTTATATTTTTAGTTCACATGACACAAAGTGTCGCCATCTAGTGTCGAATATATTTAATTATATTTGAAAACCGAGACGCAAAGAGATTTTTCTAGAACTATTTTAATAAATTAGGTGTAAAATTATTTACAAATGAAATGTGATGCCATCCATAACATCAGAGTGTCTGTGAGTAGTTTTTACAGAATAAAACACAACACTTCATCCTTTTCTTCTTAATACTACGAAAATACACCGATTTGCGATTTTTTCAACACATAAGCGCACAGGACGAATGCTGACAGTATACTAACTAAAGCCACGCCCACTATGATGACGTCAGGACCTATTTAAAATCACAGTGCACAGTTGCTTATGCCGTCTCCCCTTTGTTTTAGCTTCATGGTGTTTGGATACGTAGGTAATTCAGAAATAATCTCTTCTGGTGTCCAATCTTTTAGTACAGCTTTTATAACTCCCCAACGAGATACGCGGAAGGATATAATAAAAGTTTTGTATTTATCATTTACAGATGGATTTTCTAAAAATAGATTTGCATCAATAAATTTAGAGAATTCAATTGTTATTCTATTTCTCCTGATACGTTTTAGGCCTCCATTTACTATATTTTGAATATTTAATTTTTTCAAAAAGTAACCAAATGAAGTAGCATTTGAAGTTTTACTAGAATTGGGAGAATCTTCTTTTACTTGAACATGGACGATAAAAGAACCTGAATCCATAGAATTATAAGGGCGCAGATATTGAAATCTTTGTGAATCTATTTTTTTTAATTATTGTTATTTATATGTGTCAAGAGATTTATAAGTGATATGACTATAGGCAGAATCTAATGTTTGTGGTAGAGGAATGGCAGATGATTGTGAAAGAGGGATTTAAGAAGTTTGAGTACAAGCAATATTGGATGATAAAGACATGGAATATTCAAAAACACTTTGTCCATGATATTTTGCCTTGGTTAGATTTAGAGCTCATAATTTTAATTTTAGATGTTGAAATATTACCAGTATCGCAGTCCGATTTTAAGAATGAGGAATTGGTGGAAAGAAGTGAAATTCTTCTATATAAGTTAACCCGATTAGCCTGTTCTTCTTTTTTCCTTTTTTTCGTTTTATGTTTCCTTTTCTTTTTATTGGTGATAATTTGGAAGTTGTCATCAAAAATGGTTTTTCGCGTTTACCGCTAAAAAGAATCCCTTTGTCGTATCTCCTCAGTTTCAAGGCACTCCCCTTGTTGCCTCAGCCAGTATCGGTATCCTCGGTGTCGACATATCGAGTGACGTGCAGTTTCGTGGTCACTTAGAAGAGAAAGCCAAATTGGCCTCTAAAAAGCTTGGCGTACTCAGCAGAGCGGGACAGTATTTCATGCGGGCACACCGCTTGCAACTTTACAAGGCGCAGGTTCGGCCTCACATAGAATACTGTTCCCATCTCTGGGCAGGGGCTCCCCAGTGCCAGCTTCTTCCACTTGACCGCATCCAGCACAGAGCGGTTCGAATCGTCGACGACCGAGTTCTTTCCGATCGGCTTGACTCACTGGCACTGCGTAGAGATGTTGCATCTCGCGTATTTTATCACATCTACCACGGGGAGTGCTCTGAGGAATTGTTCGTACTAACTCCAGCCGCTCAATTTCACCATCGCACATTGCGACGAAGCTCGCGATACTATCCATATCATCTGGATTATTGGCGGTCCACCACTGTGCGATTCAGAAGAAGTTTTCTCCCTCGCACAACTTCCTTGTGAAATCGATTACCACCAGCGATTTTTCCGGACCGATACGACTTAGGGACCTTCAAGAAAAGAGCTTACTCCTTTTTAAAAGGCCGGCAACGCATCTGCGATTCCCCTGGTGTTGCAGTTGTTCATGGGCAGCGGTAGTCACTTACCATCAGGTGAGCCGCATGCTCGTTTGCACCCTCTCATTTAAAAAAAAATTCTGGGTTTTTCTTTATGTGACCTAGCCTCCGTCACTCGCTCAAGGCCCTGCGTTATATGCCTACCGTTCTGCGTATCGCCCACGATACAACCGACATTGGGCTGCCGCACGCCCGCTTGAGTGCTTGCACCGCGCACGTTTCCCGCGCTTACTCGTCGAAATGCCGAAACCACGTAAGTAATTATTGTGCAGTGAATGGGTGTCAGAGTCAAAAAAGCATTCTTAAATAATTTTGACAACGTCATAATGAATCGGCCTGGCAGCAGCGTGACCATTGATTTTCCTGCGCTTTGCTTCTGTTTTCCTCATGATTATTTATTAAAATTATTTACGCAATATAGGATCTTTTCAACGATAAGATTTAAAAACCGAGAATTCAGAGAAGGAAAATAAATGTATAAATCATTTTATAAAACTCAAAAATATTTGATTGACAAATAAAAAATATGGTTATTTGGCAAGATTCGTTTTATTACAATAATCATCATAGGTACAACCCTAGCGTATTTGTGCGATGACGCGCTTGCACGTGGGTCGCGCGGCGGTTAACACAATCTCGACTCTTTACGCGCGTACTTATGGTACATTTTCTTCTCGCTGCGAACATCAGATATTATTATTAAGATTTTGTAGGCTATTATAGCGTAGGTATTTTCACTTTTGTATGGGAGTGATGTATCTGTTTAGTAAACTATTTAGTAATCTGTGACTTAGCACGGTTACGTTCTTTTTTTGTCTCTCCAGGATATCCTTAACATTCTTCTGTATACCCACATTTCGAAGGCTTCAATCTTCTTACAGCCCGATTCTGTGAGGGTCCATGCTTCAATGCCTTACAAAAGAATGGAGAAAACATAACATCGTGCTAATCGTACTCGTATCTGGATGTTCAGCAAAATGACAACAAGAACACGTAAAACCAAGGAAGTTATAATATTTTACAACCTCCTTGCGTAAAACCGTTATTGACGTTCAGTCACAAACTATATTATAGAAACACTACGCGTTCGTTCGGTTGCCAGCCCAAATCAAAAATTCATCATGTAGGTAGGTAAATTTTTGTACATTGTTTATTTGTTTCTTTTACAAAGATTTTTGGCTTAGATGCCTGTCTTTTAAGCCAGTTCTTAATTTCATTCGAAATCTTCGTTTTTGTAGATTTTCAGTAAGTAAACAATTTAGATTTTTTAAAATTTTCCGCTACCCGCTCGTCCTCGTTGGACGTTAGTGTAGCAACATCCTCAAAATTTATACGCACTTTAAATGATCGCAAAAGTGTCGTCTAGTATTCGCCAACTGACTTATTTTGAGCCCGTATTTTTTCATTAGTTATTTAAAAACATGAAAAGTTTAATAAACATAAAATTTAGTGACAATTCAATTGTTCTTAAAAGATTTAAAAATAAAGGTTGTTTATCAACGATCGATAAAAAATACCTATGTTAATTAAGGTTTTTGTGTTTTATAAGATGTAATCAATCCACATACAAGTTACGAGTATTATTTTATTTTAATTTAATTTGATTATTTTATGTTTATTTTTCTGAAGTAAAATTATTTATACGTTTGAATACTGATTTTGATAACTCACTTAAACCACAGAGTTTTTGTTACGTATTGTATTTTGTCAGTACTAATGAAAAGCCATAACATTAGAAGACAACCTAACTGACTAGATAACTTCTATATTATAAATATTAGTTGTCAATCTAAATTTAATTACTGCAATAATAACCTCGGCATAAGATATTACTAAAATAACCTAAACTTCATCGTAATCGGATGGTAACCTCAACAAAGAACCGGACGGGTCAATCAGGACAGGACTATTCCAGAAAGTCTGAAATGATGTCACAGGGTAACCCACTGATCAACAATTTACTCAAGGTCCAGATCATGGCTTCTCACTGCATCGGTGGTTGAGTCAAGTAATAAAAAAGACTGCTTGCTTAGCGAGTTTCCGAGTAGTTCACTTCATATGCTTACATTATTAAGTAGATTTTTTTATTCTAATAACTTTCTTTGCGTTTTCCCATATTATCTACCTGAAATAGATATTAAAGTAAATTACTATTTTATTAAGTACATTAATTTCTGGTAATTACAAAAAAACAATACATAATAAAACTTACATAGTTAGTCTACTTACTCGAAGAATACAAAGTAATAAAAATAATGTTGTCCGACACTCGCGACCCACCCTTATGCTATGTCAAACAATAGATCTATCGACTCGACTTGTCAAATCGGGCTACAAAATAGTTTATAAATAAATAACGAAATGGCCTAGAGATTTAAAATAGAAAAGGCCGTTTTTAGTGTTTTTACCATTGTTGAAGATTTTTTTTTCTCGAAAATCAAGATGTTTTTTATAAATATCACACGGTGAAAGTGTAGACCCATCTATTAACTAATTGAGATTTTTTGTGGTGTCATTCAATGAAGTCAGTTCTTTAATATTTTTAAAACCGTAACTGCCTATTTGCGCGTTTATTAAGGACCGGCCTCTTAACTGTCCGCTAGGATGTTATCGTCGAAATGTAAAAACTTGGGAATGTGACGCATCAGTATATTGTATTTTGTGAACAATATACGACAGACTAGGTTGTATAGGCGTAAATCCCTGTACCTATAAAAAACAAATTTAGCTGACGTCGACATTGACAATTCGCTTTTTCTGTCATAAATTGACAGATAGCTGTGAATTGAATTTAGTTTACGTAAAAATTAATACCCAACTATTTTATTTCTCATTTGCATTGCCGCTAGTCACAAATATAAGATTTAATCACATAGATTATGTTTTAAAACAAATATGTTGTTATATCAGAGACGTTTTATATTTTTATCATTAACATGTCAGGTTGTCTCAGTGTTTTCTGCCGATCATCTTCTCGAAGGTATTTACTGTGGAAAAGAAAACTGTTATGAAGTTTTAGCAGTTAGCAGAGAAGCAACCAAAAATGAAATCGCTAGAAGTTACAGACAGTTGGCCAAAAAATTCCATCCGGATTTACATCGATCCGAAGAGGCTAAGAAAGAAGCGGAAGAAAAATTTAAGCAAATCGCTACAGCGTACGAAATATTACGAGATGAAGAGGAAAGATCAGACTACGACTACATGCTGGACAATCCGCAGGAGTACTACGCTCACTACTATCGTTATTACCGACGCCGAATGGCTCCTAAAGTCGATGTCAGAATCGTCATTGCTGTTACTATTACCATTATATCAATTATCCAATACTATAGCGCGTGGTCAAAATACGACACTGCCATAAAATACTTCATGACTGTACCCAAGTATAGGAATAGAGCTTTGGAAATTGCTAAAGCAGAAACAAAAGAGTCACAAGGCAAAGGTAAAGCTAATAGAAAAAGTAAAGCAGAACAAAAGTTAGAACAGGATAGGATAATAAGAAGGGTTATAGAAGAAAATTTAGACATCAAAGGAGCTTATGCAAAACCTGAAATAGTAGATATTTTATGGATCCAACTAATAATCTTACCATACACAGTTGCTTATTATATATACTGGTACTTAAGGTGGTTATGGAAGTTTACAATACTGAAGCAACCTTATGGTGAAGAGGAGAAATTGTATATAATCAGAAAGTATATGAAATTGGGTCAGCACCAATTCAATGCTTTAGATGATAAGGAGAAACAAGAATTTTTAGATGAAGAGTTGTGGATCAAAGAAAACTTTTTAATTTGGAAAGAAATAAAAGATGAAGAGGCTAAGAAAGCCCTTGCAGAAAATAATAAATACAAACAATACAGAAGGTATATAAAGCAGCATGGTGTTGGAAGGATGACTTTTGATGATTCATGATGTGACTGTATATATGTGAATGTTTTAAAATTTGTATGTTTGTGAAATTCTTCATTTGAATTAATAATAATTAAAAAGTCAATAAATTATTGAATAAAAATTTAATAATTTATTGACTTTTATAATAACTGGCAACTTTTCATAAGCACACCAAATAAAACAAAGTGATTACACAAGATGTTACCTTTATTTTTTAATCTCTATCCATATCAACAAGTACTACAATGATTCAGTTACATTCAACCATTCATTTATAATTTACAATCATCACAACTGGCAATTTTTTAAGGCAATCTGAAAGTGACCGTTGACCAAGGCATTGTGGAATAAATGATGAGCACTTTTGGTCAGCATGACCACACACCACACATATTATTACAAGGCAAGTAAGTCTTTAAGCAATCAAATTTGTCTTGTATTGTTATGTTTGCTCTAGGATATTTATTTGGTAATGGTAACTATAGTTGTACAACAATGATAATTTAAAAATGAGCACTTTATCTGCTATTTGTTTGATTTGAACTCTGCTCTATTTTCACCTCTTTGGACTTGGACAAGTAAAAACAAGACAAAATTAATTGTTATATTTTTAAAAGTAGAAACAATTTGAGATCCTTATTTGCAATTAATGCTTAATTCATTTTACAGTTTGAGTATTAGGGTAAGGATACACAACAACACTAAATACTCTAGTACAATAGACAGTTTGTCAGTGTTACAATACCAAGTCATATACAAAGTTTTGTAGACATTCAGTGTTGTTGTTAATCAATGAACATGTGTCCTCTTATCTACCATAAGATTAGCATCTTATGTTGTTATATGCAATGGCAGTGCATGAATATTTTATTTTTAATTTTCAGTAAAATTTGGTTGATTAATATGTGAATTTATTTTGACAACTAAACAATTCTCATCAACTTTAATAATTTGTCGCAATCAGTGTAAAGTTAGGAAACAAAGTAATATTTCGTAATTGACATTTTAAAAGTTAAGTGATGGAGTAGTCAGAAACAACTGTATATTTTGATTATTGCGGATTTGAGTATTGAGGATCTACAAATGCCTTATTCATTTATCATATACTGTCATATTGTTTGTACTTGTATTACATTAACTTTCAATTTGTGTAATACACATTTCTTGCATTAAATTAATAGCAAAATAGCACTAAAAAAAATTAATAATTTTGATATGATTTCAGTTGGTTAATTTCATTGTCTACTAAGCTTTTGATTTGCTTTCCATTACAAATTTCTTTAGCAATAATGGATAACAATAGAACTGGGACAGTATTTCAATACTGAGGCGCTCAAATAGTATTGCATAAGTCAATGTGCAGAAGCGTGAAGTTGGATCGAATTGATTTATTTAAACTTTTTTTATGTGAATGGCAACACAGGCAATTTTTCAATAGCAATAAATAGACATGAACGCAAAATCGTTCATGTCTATTCTATCTATAATTACCAAATCACATTTAAACTAATCAAAGAATCAAATAGTTCATATAATTTATGAAATTGACATGGCCTTTTGCACATCAAACTAAAGTTCATCATAATGTGGTATTTTTGCCAATATGGTCAAAAATGAATATTTTAATTCAAAAAAACATTGCCAATTAAAATTCATCTCTAAGCATAGAAAAATGTACCAATAATTATTAAAGTAAATTAATTTTACATAAATACATACATACCTATTACATAAATAGAACAAAAAACAATAATTATTGCTTATGGTAACAAATAGTGTCTGTTCGAAAAGACCTCGATGGCTCGAGGCGAAAATAGTAAATTAACATAAAATATTTCTTTAGTTTAAAAACTATGACACAAAAACAAAACAGAGAGAACATAGTACATAAATGAGTATATTCTCCGTGTTGTAAGAAGTGGCTTGAACAGTTACATTTTTTTGCGTAGTTCATTGAACAGATTTATCGATTACAGTATAAGCATCCAGTGTCAGATATAAAATACATATTCCAGTGACAGAGAGCAGTTACAAAGGCACAAGACAATTGGTACTACAATTGGCAATTGGTGAAGTGCATTTTTGGCAAATTCTATTAAGGAATTTAAGTTAAATGGCGTTGCGGGTCCATCACAATATGGCGCCCTTATTGTACTAGAAAAGTATTTATAAAAAATATTACAACCTATTTAATGTCTTTGATTTTGGAAATACTATATTATATGTAGTAGCAGTGTAAGAAAATCTACTACCCCATATTGTTCCCGTGGGTGTTATAAGAGGTGACAATAGGTACAAGCCAGGAGATGGTCAGCAGTATCATCCTGATAACAACCCAAATTTATAAAAAATCAGCAGTTTCCAACAACCGCCTGCCAACCAAGGCAACTTTGCCAAAATCGCCCAGCTTCAGCAGTGGACTTCTATAGGCTGTAATGGATAATGGATTTTTATAGATAATTTGTATTGAGTATACAATTATATTTATTCTGTTATTAAATGTGATAATAGAAATGAAATTTTCCAGTGCTGTATACACGTTTCTTTTTTCATTATGAAGCAGTTAGTTCGGCACGCTGTATAAATTAAGAGAACTAGATTTAAAAAAAAATTATCCTTGATCTTTTCAATCAATTTTAGAATGTGCCTCAAATTCAGCTCTCATGACTTGTGGGCCTAGTCTAAATCCCCTGCTGGCTGATTCTTATTTCTGAGGAGGGAAGGTGGAACCATATTCGATAGTTACGTTTTTTGAAAATGTAATCACTTAATAATATACTACAAACAAACTTTATTTAGACGCTTCAGTGCCATCAAACACGGCGATTCTCTTTTCGAAATGACTTCAAGAAAAGGTTGTAATATTAAATATAAAAATCCCTGATGGTAAACTATTCCACAACTTCCTTGTGGAATAGTTTACCATCAGGGATTTTTCCGGACCGATACGACTTAGGGACCTTCAAGAAAAGAGCCTACTCCTTTTTAAAAGGCCGGCAACGCATCTGCAATTCCCCTGGTGTTGCGGTTGTTCATGGGCGGCGGTAGTCACTTACCATCAGGTGAGCCGCATGCTCGTTTGCCCCCTCTCCTATAAAAAAAAAAAAAAAAAAAAAAAATGTACGGAGTATAAACAATAAAAATTATATTTTGGCATGTAGGCAAACTGGTTTTTGGTATGTGTGTACAAAATGTTACAATTTGCATTGAGTTCTTAGTTTCTACTTTCAAAAGAAACCAATTTTATCTTGTATTAGAGCTGTAAGCTAATTATAGATTTTAGAATCTATATATAATAATACGAAAGCAGAAATAATCGAGCACAAATAGCACTGTAAAGCTCAATGTGTCTCTTCTAATAATAGAGTGACAATCGACTGATACACCTTGATGGTAAGTAGATACTACAAGCCATTAACAACTGCAATCAAAAAACTTCAAAAATGTAGACTACAGATGTTTTGAAAATATAGTAATCCTCACAATATTCAAATAAACAAAAAGGTGAAGATATGGTATGCAAGAACATTATATAATTGAAACGAAATAGGAATATGTGCACTAAGCATAGAAATTTACCCAAACAGAATAAGGCAACAGCAGAAACAAAACTCACCATGAATATAAAGTAGCTTGTTTCTATTGCCTTCTTCCGTAATAACATGGCAATTCAATTATATTTCGAAAATATTTGATTTTAAAAATTAAATAGTATCTCTTATACATGAATAGTGAACCTCAAGTGACTTTATTTAGCCTAAATTATTGGGACAATTATAAAGTGAGCAGGAAAGTATTTGGATGACTATTTATTGAAAAGGTAAGTTTTTTTAAGAACAGCATACGCGTGTACGTGACAAGTGTAGACCACGACCAAGGGATAGTGCGTCAGTTATTTTTGTGGTCCAGGTTTTGCATTTTTTATATTAATCGATGCCTCACAGCCTATATTTTATACTGGCTCTCTTGTCCTTTGACTTTTGGATGTACTCTTGCTTGAACCTATCAATACAGACTCGCGGATACCACCTAGTGTAACTTGGTTAGTGTAAATCTTAATTTTTTTGTAGTTGAGAAAACCAGAAGAATACCATAATATTAAAATAGAACAATTCTTCTTTGCTTAATATCCCCATTAAGTTTACAAACGCATAGAACTTTTTCCGTATTACTGTATTTGTTTAAAATGTCATAATAATGAATTTTTTTATGGTGCATTTTACGATATTATTTTTATTTTAATCGGAACTTCACACGAAAATAGTTTGTCGTGACTATTTAAATCACGATATTACAGTTTATAGTACAATGTTTCATAACAAAGATATATATTATATTCGTCGCAGTACATTCCACACTTAACTAACACTTGTAATTTAATGTTTCCTAACGAATATAATACTTCTCCGACATATTTTGTACATAATTTTTTTATTTACATCCATTATTATAGTCTCTATCTGTATATATACACAAAAAGGTTTATTTAAATATATAATAGTGTACTTTTATATTTTCTTTTTTATTATGGCTTCAGTGTCCATCCGAAATTGTTAGCTTAGCTAATTGTTAGCTGTCCAACAAAATTCAATATACAGATATGGGAAAAAACTACAAAATGGGTATAAAAACTAGAAGAAGCAGTCGTAACTAAAATTAAAAAATATGACACATTTTTGAATGTTCTGTTGTACGTACGTATATGTAAAAATAGGAAGTTACGGTGATAAAATTAAAGAGGAAAAGCCTCGGTCCGACACCGTAGGGCACAACTTCCCATATTGTAACGTTATTTATAGTAAATTATCTCTATCTACATAAATAGTATACACAAAATAATGCTTCTATATACTCTGTGATCCACAATATGTTGAGATCGAACATGAGCCGTGTCTCTTCAAAATGTAGGTACGTATTTTTAAATCGAATTTACTACCCTCGTACAAAGACTTCCATATAAACTACCAGACGGGCTCTACGGCCTTAATACATTGCGCATAAAGTTACGGTCAATTCTCCGTAACTCCTTTAGTCGACTGCGATCAGCAGAGAAGAATAGTTCTTTGTATGATAAACGGTGAACGTAGTTTTCTACAATCTAACACTGATTTTGTTTTTTTCGTGACTGTCAATATTTATGTGTGCACGTTATCAACGTGATTTGAAGTTTATTTCTGATATATATGTAACTTTATTTCGTATTTGCCTAAAAACAATAACTGTCGTAAATGAAAATACAACTTGCGTGGCAGTTACCGTGCGTTTATTTAACTACCCGCGCCAACGCTATCCACAGCTGTGACACAGTATTTGTTCTTATTTCCGCTCTAGTGGTATACATAGAAGTCTTTGCCTGCGTGCATTACCGTTAATTTTCTTTACTGCACCTTTATAAAAACTTTCGGAGATTTAACTCAAAGTAATGAGTATCACTGCATATGGCAATTATATTTTGTAGCTCGAAAAAAATTCATATCTAAATTAAAAGCCGAGAAGCCTCAAGACAAAACGTGATAGACTAGATATTCGCAGAATTATAGTAACCAAAACATCACAGGCCATAGAAATATACTGTCACAATTCAGTAGAGACACGTTCAAGCAAACACATCGACGGTAACATATACGGACGATTATAAACCGTAATCTAAGTGATATAAAGACGTTCATATGCATTACACTCAACTCGCGCTCGATCGGTTATCTTACACAAGTTTACACACAAATTATACAACTTACAACCTTAGGATAAAAGCGATAAATTCCAATCTGTCTCTTGTCATTAGCAGTCCTATCACCTAGTTTAAAGTCATCAGTTCTAGACTTAAGCCATACATTTCGGGGCGCATTTAGTAGCCGTCCCTGCTTGATATCAAAAAGGCTCATCAGTGTTACCAATATTTAGAAATTAAAGACTACATAATAAATAAGAGCAAATAACGTTTTGTTTTCGAAATGCTATTGGCCCTTATTCAGGTCATTATTAACAGTAACTTCAGTAACTTTATTTGGGGCCTAGTTAATGTAGCTACACCTTCAAGCAACCTTCAATTGCATTCATCAATCATTTCTTGCATTAAAGCGTCTCTTTGTGAGTTGTTCCTTGTGAGTTAAGGCTACACTTGCACTAGCGGTGGCCGCGTCTCCCGCGCCGCGGCCGGACCGCTACGTGCAGCGCTCGCCCTCAAACGGGCGTTTCGTGATCGGTCTCTTCGATTCGGCCCAATCGCCATGCGTTGGGATCTGTCGCTGAACATTAAAAAATAAAATATTATTATATACCATGATAACTTATTGTGAGAACACTTTCAACTTTTAGGGGTTTTCTTGACATTTTTGGCAGCTTTACATTTTTTAAATACTCCATAATAAACGTAGAAAGAGGAGTTGAGACTGCAATTATATTGTCAAAAGTCTTAAATCTCTCTCGGTGTGTCAGGATCGTGCCAAATGGAAGTCCGCATTCTCTGACTAACCCTCTGGGGGTAACAGGAGTGAATGTTTATGTTGTTGTTATGTTATTCATAATAAGGTTCTTTAATAAGAAAATGAACCTTACTGTATACCGTAAAGTCTTTAGACGTGACTGAAACAGCTGGGCAGCAACATCTTAATACCAACTCAAAATAATAAAAAAACTACCATTGCATGAATTATTCTAGACGTCTAGCAGACGAAAAAAACGGTATTTTGCTAACGTAATTTTCTAATTTTTATTAATACATTACAACTAATCTAAAATTCACAGCTGAACAAAGGTCTGCCCCCCCCGCCCCATAAATTGCATCCTTAGGCGGGATAAGTACCATAGTTGCCACACTTGGTACACAATGGGAAGATGTAGCTGCCCATGAACAAGATGATATGAGGTTTGCCAAAAAAATATTGTTTAAAATTGAAACAGTTGAATTGACTTGTCAAGAAATTATTGTTCACATGGAACATATCGCATCAACTATAGAGATCCGATGATCATTTGTCTGTCACCCTTGCTATCTAAACGCCTTCCCTGATAGCACAGTTGTTTTTCTAAATTCTAACTGATTTCCAAGTAGTCTGACGAACAAGTGGTTTTCATTTTTTTAATTTGAAAAGGTTTTTCAAAGTCAAAAGCAGACGTTTTTTCTGCCACTAACATAATCCGTCCACTTTTTTTTTTACTTATTATAAGCCAATTCTTGACCACAATTCCACCTGGCATTTGACGATGATGGTAATTGTTGAAGTAATACTTCTTTTGGGGCGTTTGGGAAAAATCATGAGAGTGAATTTTTTACGATGCGCGCGCACACTGACACCTCAAAGTGACAACTTCATTGGGTAACTGTCTGTAACAGTAAATTTAAATTAGTTATTTTTGTTTCGTTACGCTCAAGAAGTATAACTTCCTACGTGCGTACATAAGTACACACACACACTTTTTTTTTAATAAAAGTCACCTTTTGTTTGCAAAGCCACGGACGAATATCGGCCATGAAATCAGCGTTCTAAATTTAAAAATAATACGGTGCGTTGGAGTGAATTAAACAAGTATAATGTGAACAAAAAATTACCTGAGAATTGTAGCTCGTTCAAACATGCTTTGGGAGTAATGGATTTCAAGGAGGAGACGGGTCTTAGGATAATAATTGATTTCATAGTAACACTAAACAGACACTAGTACTTAGGATTGAAGGTAACACGTTATTATTGTTATTAGAGCATTGCAGCAGTTAGTCAAGGTATACGCGCCTGCCGTCAATAATCTTTAAAAATATATATATTATTATCAATCTAGACTAAATGTTCATTAAAAATGTTTAACATTTATGTACAAAATTCAACGTATTGAAATTTTCATCTTTTTTTAAAAGTAGGATATAAAAAGGTTAAAATTTCGGTAAGCCAATCTCGTATAAACATACCTTGACTTAAACGATATTTATATTAAGCAGAATAATCAACTAGAAAGGGACGATATACGTTTATCATAAGCAGACTAGGACGGCATGATACTTACAAAAACATGCAAAATACTTATATACTTAGACATAAATAAGATTGCCCACTTAGAATCCAAAATTCATTAAGTAAAATTTATTTTATTATTCAAATGTAATGTTTAATACTTATTACATTATACTATATTTTGTACTTTTTATAATGTTTACAATTAGAGTTAATCAGTTGGATAGTTATGTAAAGAGGATCCAACACCAAAAAAACTACTTATTAGATATTGTAGTTTGAAGTTTGGATCAGTATTTAATTCCAGTCATACTTGCATCGATTTGTTTTTAACTTTATTTTCTTTTCATCAATTGCGTCTTTTGATGGTATTATTTTTAATTTTTGAATGTAAATGTTATGGACCAAGTGACTAATTAGGGCACTATTAATAATGCCCGGGCAATATAAATAATGAGAAGTCGAATCGAGCTATGTAATTATCACTGATTTAAACTCGATTATTTATCACATTGTTTGGTTACTATGAATATTGCTACGTAACTGTTGGGCAATTTGATAGAACCTAACCTAACCAAACTTACCCATCTTAATCACTTTTAAGACAATTAGATAATAGTATTAAAGTTGTTAAAAAATAATTTGCTAATTTTAAGATAATCGTATGATAAAAAATAATTATTCATACGATAATCGTATAAATAAAAAATCCGAGCGATAATTTTTAAAATTAAGAACTTAAATTTTTTAAATTAAATTTTAATTTATTTATGGTTAACGATTATATAATTATAATATACGCGGCTTTAGGGTGGCCCAAAGGCCACCTCAATCGACTACTATCACTGATATTGCAAGATTGATGTAATGTTTTATTAAAAGCAAATAGCCTAATCATACGAGTGAGTATCAGAGTACATATAGTATATATTATAAATAATCGTATAAAAAAAATACCATTCGATTACTGTATGAATAGACACTTTCATCGTTTTATGAATCTGCGAAATAAGTAACGAGCTTTATTCATAAAACCCGGTCAATATAATTATTTCATTAGTTTTTATCAAAATCCCTATTCAAATTGAGTATTATTCATATTGCCCGGACATTATGAATAATGCCAAATTAATCACTTAATCCATAACATATACACTAAGATTAATGTTACATAATACTCGTTTTTTATCCAAATATGGTTGGATCCTATTGCCAAACTTACTTTTAATTCTTAAGGCCTTGTTATTATGAGATAACATAAAGTAATTGTCATGTCTTGTCATGATATTTTTACAAAACTAATATTAAAGCTACTTAAAAATACATATAAAATATATTGATCTAATTATGCAAACACCAAAAAATTGAAAATATATACTTCTAGAACGTCATAGTTATATGAGTTATTTCTACACTTAATACTAAAATTGCTTTTTATTATGACACATTGTTTACAAGTTCATATATATATGTAAATACTTGTTTATATAATACAGGTATAATACATGAAATACTATTATATATATAAATGTTAAATGATGTAAATTTAAAGGTCACTTAAATTCTAGAAGTGGCAACACTCTAGAAGTACAGTGACCATAGACGATGGGTTGATAAGAAGGATATAGGAAAGGACAGAATATTTTATACGACAGATATAGCGTGTGTGCGTTGGTTACGTGCGCTAATTTATTACATTAATATTTTACATTGCATTTGTGTGCATTCAAAATAATACATCTACATACGTAGTTATATTCGAAATATTTAAGCCTGGACGGGGGTTGATGTACGTACACTAGTATCACATGAGACAGATATGTCTTGTTCAATTAAATTGTCTTATGTTATTAAAATTAAAGTATATATCCAGACAATCTTGGGACATAATAATGGTGGTCTATAGTCTATATATTTTTGTGCATCTTGAGAGGTAAAAAGAAGTGTACTTTAGGTATTTAGTTATTTTCTTTTTAATTATCAATTGGTTAAAAAGGTTTTGTAACACTAGTGTTACGCTAAATACATTAAACACATTCTGCTGAATTATTAGGAGGAAATTGCAAGTTCACGCAAGTAAAAACCTATAAGTGAAAAATGTGCGCATTAGGGATGTACAGGCCAGTGGAAGTTTAGGATTGGGGGGAGGAATGGGGGGAGCTCTCGATGTTCAGCATTGGTGCGTGGCGGGCGCGGCGAGCAGCAGCGGGGCGTGTTCGCCTGCACGAGCGACACGTCATCGACACGGCACAAGCACACCACAATTTTGGGATAACGTGCAATCTCATATAAACATGGCGGTTAACTTTTATAGAATAGTGTAAGGTTATTTTGTTTGAAGATGGAAATTAAGTCATAATGTATTCAGTCATTATTGAGATAACAGATCGGTCGAAAGTCTCGTAAATTACGGACAGATTGCACGTACTCCCGGACTAACATTAAAAAAACATCAGTACGTTTGTTTGACGTAATTATTAATTATTATTATACTTGAAATATGAAATAAACGTTTTTAAAACTTTAGGATTTAAAATATTTGTGCATTTAAATTCGATGCTTACCAAAACTATTGTAAATTAGTGAGAAATTCCCAAACATACGGAAGTTTTCTTAATTATCAGCTATTCATGGTTAGATACCAAGGCTTTTTGCCTATATTCAGTACAATTTTAATTTGGTTTTATTAAGTCACCACTGACGCAACTTAATGAATTTTTACGCATTGAGTATGTAACAAACAAATTAAATAACTTTTTCAATAAGGAAAGGCGTGGAAAAAGTAGTCACGTGTTTTATTTTTACTAGAAAGGTCTATATATCTAACCACTCATAGCTGCTCTACAAATACCACATTGCGATATTGTAAACATCAACTTTACGTTAGAGTAATAGGCTAATGGGGGATAAAATGTTTAGTAGTTTCAAAATACAACATTTAATTTTAATGAGCATGATTGTACCCGAAAAAAAAAATATAATTTCAATTACCTTTTATAAGTAGTTATTTAATAGACAAGTATAAAATATAAAAATATTCAATAAGCTACGTATTATTTGAATTAAATACAAAAAATTAAATTATACTAAATTACAATAAAAGCGTTATCAAATACAGGTACCAAACAGATTATAAAATCTATTTTACTAAAGCGTTAATTAAAAATATACTTGGCGATTTAATGGCTTACATCATGCACAAAAACCATCGAGCACCTTTTTAAAAAATTACCTATTTATTATACTGCTATTATTTAACTAAACATGCTATTAACTTATACCCTTTACATACGATCTACATTTGCATGCATAAATTACTAAACATACCAAAAATATTCTAAGTTCTATAACGATCCTTTATATTCTTTATAATTTTAATGTATCAGAAACTTTTTAGCCGTAAGACATATGAAAATGAGGATACGGTATAGTTTTATTAGTTTAGTCGCAATCCCGGCATTTACGAGGGCGGCACTGAAAATTTCAAGAATCAAGGAAGTGACACAACATTACTATTTAAAAATGTATTTATTGCTTTTCGAAGTATTCTCCGCGAAATTTGACACATTTTTCCATACGATGGAACCAATCATTGAAGCAACCATTCCATTCGGAAGTTGGGGTCTCCAAAATGGCCGTTTTGTAGGCGTCCAGCTACTTCAGGTGATGAAAATCTCTGTCCACGCAATTTATTCTTTATTTTAGGGAAAGTATAAAAATCATTAGGGCTTAGGTTGGGGCTGTACGGCGGATGGTCTAATAATTCTATGTTTTCTTGCTCTAAAAACTCTTTTGTTCTGTGTGCGGTGTGAGAACTCGCATTGTCGTGATGGAGGATGATGCGGCGGTTGCAGTTCTCTTTACGGAGTTCAGAAACGACCTGTGGCAAACAAATGCTAGCATACCATTCTGCATTAACCGTTCTTTGTCCCTCAAGAGGAATAGTCGTAACATGGCCGGTTTTGGAGACAAACGTGGCCACCATTTTTTTTGCAACACTGTGGACGAACAACTTTTGTTGGCTTTAACTCATTTTCGAACACCCAAACTCGTGACTGGTTTTTTGTTTCGGTTTCGTACGCGTATATCCAGTATTCGTCACCTGATACGATGTTGTATACAGCATTTGAGGATCCTGCGTGGAATCTTTCCAGAGTTCTGACGCACCAAGTAACGCAAGCCGCTTTTTGCTCTTCACATAGCGAATGCGATATCCATCGGGAAAACAACTTTTTGACACCTAATTGTTCATGCAAGATTATTTGTATTTGACTCATGCTAATGTCTAAAGTTGCCTGAATTTCGCGGTATGTCACATGTCGATCTTCCTCAATCAGCTTACGCACAGCATCAACGTTTTCTTGGGTGACTGCAGTTTTTGGACGACCTTGACGGGGATCATCACTGAGCTTGACACGTCCACGTTGAAATTCAGCAAACTAGCGATAAACTGTGGTTTTGGATGGGGCTTCATCACCAAATGCAGAAATCATCCGGTCAACACACTGTTTTTGTGTTAAACCACTTCGAAAGTCATAATAAATCATCGCTCTTGAATTTTCTCGAGTCAATTCCATTTTCTCAACGACTAAACAAGTTTGATAAAACCTTGTGGCAAAACCGAGAATCTTTTTTTAAATAAATAAATGGTATTAGATTTTTAAAACCAAGAAGTTTTCAATTAAAAAGATTTTAATATGACAGGAACAGTGGAAATATTCTATTCCCGATACTTTTAGTGCAGCCCTTGCAGTCGCTGTTTTGCCAAAACTGACAAAGAAATGTACGAAACGGATATACTCGCTAAAATTACAGCCTATATATGTCCCACTGCTTGGCTCTCAGGCCTCCTCTCATTTCTGAGAAGGTTTTAGGGCAAGGAAAAATAAACCTGCTCGCGGTAACCAATTTCTTCTATGTATCGAACTTTGGACTGTTAAGTTATGAAAGCTTTGATATTTTGATAAAAGAATCCACTACCACAAAGGAAAAATAAAACAGGATAGCATCACTTCATTTATTTAAATTAACACGAAAATCACGGCCGTGAACTGTGTTAAATTTGTGTAACTGTGCAATACAACTCGTTGTGCATCGTTGGAATCAACCTGAGAAGTACGAGACGCGTCGCTGGAGGTCGCCAGGTCAGTGCGTGCAGCATTACTGTTGCTGTTCATAATTTAAATCCAACCTAATTCCGCAAATAAGAGTACAGTCCACTAATTTTTAAATGACATAATTTTCCGCACCATATGGCAATTATTTCCCGGACTTTTGATATATTTTTGATAGGTTCGTCAAAATGATACAATACAACATAGATTTTTTTTAAATAGTCCATGTCTGCGATGTTAAAATTGGTTAAAATCTTTTGGCGATTTGATGTGATAGCACGCAAAGAACATAGAAATGGAGACAAAAATATTTTACTCGCAACAACAGGGCCAAAACTTTGAGGCCACTTCAAATGGATAGAAACGAGCTTCAGAGTCTACATCTACCCTCAATTAAAAATCAAAATGTAGATACGTCGTCACCGACAAGGGCTAATATGGAATGCCTCGTTTCCAGTGAAAAGGGTTAAAGGTTCTCTACACTCGCCATGCGAAACGCAGCAGCATCGAGCTGCTATTTTACGCTGGTATTCTGTGAGATCGTGGTCCTTCCCCGGTCGAGCCGACCCAAACGTGCTACAACCATAACATCGCTGTAGCATGGCTTTAATACGTACAAGTTTTTTAACCCTTGTGGTAGGCCTTTAAAAATGCGCCAAATGGCATATATAACTTGAAAGAATTACCCATACCTCCCAACAACGGAAGTGGTCCATATCCAGTGGTAGATTTTATGGGATGATGAAGTCGATACCATGTTGGGCACGCGAGTTACTAACCGCAGAGTAGAATAGAATACTTTTTATACAATATAGATTACATGTAATTCTTATTGAATCATTTTTTTACTTTTACCACAGGTTGGGAAAAAAAGGTTTGGCCTGGGAAGAACCACCAAGATACCTAGTGGGATTTTTTTAAAAATTATATTTTAGAATAAAAACACAGGTTGTACAAAATACTTAAACTTATTTAAGAAACATTTTGGAAGCATCAACCATGGCACGGGCATAACGTATCCTTATTTTCATAGACTGAAGTTACTATCTTCATGCAAACTATTTCGCTATTTGGCATGTAATATAGATCAATCTTCAAACATATCGGATCTCGCGAAATTCTAAGAAAGCATTGATAATGCGATACAGTCTGCTATAAAAGGTTCGGTTCTTCAACCTCAATTAAATACTCATTAATTTCGACAAAGATCAGGTTTTATTTGAAATAACCTTGACCTTTTTCATTCTATTGGCGTATACTACTGTTCATGTGACGTAAGACTGTTACCGAACCAATATGAAGTAATGCCAATATTTTTTGCAATTACTTCTATCTAGGTATTCTCTCTCTTGGATTTATTTATCTATGTCAAGTATAAATGGTACAGAAAAAGAAATCCATTACATCTATATTTATCGCGATTAATCAAAATATATTTCATACACAATGTGCTCCTATGGACTATTAAATATCAAACATATTATCAAGTCTAAAACACTAAATTATCCATTTATAGTGTGTATATAAGTGACAACTCAATTCGTTTAGAAGTGAATCTACCAGATCTAAAGAACTGTATCTGCCAAATCGTTCATCCAAAACTTCCACATCACTACATAGAAGCTAAAAACACATTACATTATCAAACTCAACACAAGACGGTTTCACATTAAATCCCATATCCCGTACCCACCACCGTATTTACACCTACCATTTACCACTTTCACAATCTTCCATACAGACTCTATCTGGAATAAGGCTTTAAAATCAATGGGTGATCTATTTTTTGACAGTTCAGGATCAAGATAAATATATAAAATAAAGATATATTAATATATTATAATTATTATTATAATACCTAGATGGAGATTGAAATCTAATAATACCGTTATCGAGATGCTTAGTTTTCATATGTAATATATAATTATGTAGTATGCAGTTAGGAATTATGTGAACTGTCAAAAACGGATCAGTTAATGGCCAGAAGCTCGTCGCACACGATGCTATGCTAAAATGATAAAACTTATTAATAATGTACGTCACGAAAAATAGTAATGTATTTAAATAAAACTAGTTTTAACGAATTTTATCGCCTATATTCACTTATTTTATATTCCCGACGTTTCAGACTCTATTTAAATGTGTAGTCATTAAATAACGTATTTGTTTAAGGTGATTTATTATTTGATGGTAATCTTCGAAAATAAGGCACTTAAAACACTAGATTTGTGATAGTACAGGCAACGAACTAGTCGCCAATAACTTCTTTTACAATTTTCCATCTAAACTCAAAATTTTTCGAACTTGGTTCGAGTATCTTGCTGCTCTTTGGACTCTGCCTGTCCTTGGGGATTACAGGGGCGATGCTATGATTGAATGTTAATTTTTTTAAACTATTGAATTTATGATACCTTCACTACTTATTACAAATTGGAGTTTGTAGCTAGTTTCTTTAGGGTAGCATCGTGGGTGCGTGGCCTTTCTGTGAATTTGTTAATGTTCTACAAAATTTTTAGTTACGTCTTACAGTCAACCCAGCATCAAACTTATCTATAATCGACCCATACCAATAGTGGTTCTTACCCTGCAACTGTCTGTTCAGCAGCGCGGTGATGCCTGGTCCATCGCCTGCCTTCTTCACCACCAGCATGGGCTTGTCCTCACCCTCCTCGTAACTGTTTGGCAGGTGACCATTACTCACTGCCATCGTTTCGCTCACCTGCAAAGTGTAAAGTGGTGATGGGATTAAATGAACAACAATATCGAAAACAACATAACATAAATTATTACTATTATATTTACAACTAGCTTTTATCCGCGGCTTCGCTCGCGTGACCTTGAATTTAGGAACTTCATGAAATCCTGTTCCGTGCCAAATTCACCAAAATTCGATCACTTCTAGAGTCACCTCGATGTCTGTGTTTCTGTCTGTCAAAGATATTTTTCTAATTCTAAGACTATTAGACGTAGATGATTGGTATTTGGTGTACCTAGATATAATATGCTACAGGAACACGTGAATATATATGTCTACAAACACCTACTATTTTTATATCGGGCGTGTCTTACGATGTATCCATAAGAAAGGTAAATTGTCTTGGAATCAAAATTTATTATTATTATTTACATTTATTTACAATTAAAGTTAATTTAGTTTTAACAAAATAATGATGAATTTCATTTAAAATTTGTATTCCAGTTCACTTCACCGAGTTCTATGGTAACTCCTTTACAGTTCAGGCTGCACGCCTTTGGAACTCCTTGCCTGACGACATCAGAAAAGCTCCCACTAAGTTTGCTTTTAAAAAGTTGGTGCGTAATCATCTATCTGTTAAAGACAACGCTTCTTAGATGAATCATCCATGTCATTTATATTTTAGACGTATATATTTATAATAATAATAATAATAATAATAACCATTTATTTAAATAAAAGTACAATAATAAAGTGAAGACTCTGATCCCCAAACTAGACAAGTCTGTATCTTAGGGATCAGCGGCCTCTCCCAGTGGTGTGACAACAGGATCTTAAGAATTATATATATCTTAAGAATTAATTAAGTAACTAAGCTTAACATTTTTAAGTAACTGTTTAGCTATTTGAATGTATTTATTTACAACGAAACATAAACTAGAACTTAATGCGACTCTTTTGTCGTTATTATAATATTTTATATAATCGTAGGTATATTAAAATTAGTTTGCAATTTGTTATATATATACATACACATACTCATAGACATACATATATACATACATACATATATACATATACATACACACTCATATATAGAATATATTATTATATAATTTCATACAGAATATATATTTTATTCATTATAACCTATAATGAATAAATATATGCTTTAAACAAAGATTGCTATTTTTAATTTCATAATTTTAAAATTTTATAATTTTATTATACTTTTATTATACGACATACATTACTTACACACATTTTTACAAATTATATTTTCTGTTTTACTATAATCAAGGGACAATAACCAATCTCGAACTTTAACTTTACATTCATGTCTGGAAAGAGGATAAAAATTTAGAATTCTATTTAACTTATTATAAAGCACTGAGGATAGATAAAAAATATATAGTTATTAATATGTATTATTTGTATATGTATGTTGGTATGAATATATGTATGCTTATGTATGTACGTATATATTTGTATACATGTATAAATAGGATATATTTTTATAGTTTATTTATTGTATATAATAGTAATATGTATATATAATGTAATTAATTATACATTTCTATTTTCTTTTTATTCTATATTGCTACACCTACTTCAAATTCTCACCACTCCATGGGTTGACTGGTAGAGAATGCCACAAGGCATTAAGTCCGCCCTTTGTATTCTTTTAGGTTAAGGAATGCAATAAAGAATAAATAAATAAATAAAATTTCATGGTCTTTTATCAATGTACGGTGTAATGTTTATTTGAGATATTTTATTGATATCATTGGTCCTATTTAATATAGATTGTCACCATAAAATAGATGTAGATATATTTTTACATTCGAGTAGAGTTCAACATATCATAAATACAGTTCTTTACTACACATGGAATAAAACTAATGTTACAGATTTTATCACATTTAATTTTAACATTTTTACGTGGGGTTTTTTTTTTATGAAATCACCTTTGGAAAAAAGTTCCATAAAACCTGCGTAAATGAACATATTGTTGATGTGAAGCACCGATGCTCCGGGAAGTCTAAAGTATGTCAAAATGTTTAGTATCGTCCCAACCATTATATCGGATCTGATAGACAACAAACCCTTGCAATAGAACACCGATTCCTACCAATGATGATTCGCGAGGCTATTGAAATTTAAAAAAAACAGCCTAATTTTAATAGGGAAGATGGCTGAGTGCTACCATCTGCCTAAAGACCCCATAATTAATAAAATTAAATTCAAACCCAAGCATGCTACTGCATTTATTCAAACATCAGATCGTCAAACACCTCAGTCCTCCCCAGTGGCGTAGCTGTGTAACCAAGGGCCTCGGGGCAAAAATGAAATTAGGGCCCTATTTAAACTACCCTAAATACTTTAAAGGTGCAAAACTACTTCATCATCAGCTGCTTGTCGCCCACTGCAGGGCATGTGTAACGCATAAACAATGACGAAGTAGATCACAGTTAATAATATAGGCAGACAACATAAAAGTGGAAGAGCCACACGGCAGCTTTTGCTGTCGCATGGGTGAGATAGACTAGATGGAGTGACGACCTGGTAAGACATGAAATCAAGAGCTGTAATGAATTGGTGGACCGACTCGAACCGAGAAATCCCACGACCTTACAGATAATCAGCGTAAAGTAGAAGTTTACTTCGCCTGTGAACTTGCAGGTGGTCGGAGGCCTAACCCCTCTTCACCTTAACATGGTAGTGTAATTAACTAACAAACCATCCCAGGAGGGTGGTACCAGCACCCCCTGGTATTAGAGAATCCCCAGCTGAGCATCCACGCCCAAGCTACCATACTCTTCCTTAGCGCGGGTGCTCAAACTGCCTCTTGTATCCTGGGGAGGGGTGGGGGGCGAAATTCTGCTCGCGACTAATACTGCTCGGGGAAAACGGAGCAACAAAACAAAGGCGCCCCTGCCCACGCTTTACGTGAATTTCTACAACGTCAGGGGACTTCATTCGAACTTTAACGCCGTCCACTACCATGTGAAGACGACGAAGACGGCCTTGCTCTTTCTAACCGAAACACAGGTCTCCTCTCCGGCTGATATTATATAACATATTCAACAAACAGTGTTAAATATCATGAAATAACCATACCATTTCAGAAAAAGATAAACTACTTATGATATATGATCTATTCTACGACGACAAATATAAAAATCTCTTTAATAAAACTATAATGATAATGAAAATTTTGCAATAATTGCAGACAGACCAGTTTTAATCAGTTTACATATAGATTAATTTCACTGGATTCACCAACAATTCCTTTACTATTCAGGCAAATATAACCTTATCAATTTTCATATTTTTGTTAGACGTCACTATTATCTCTTAAAATTAATACACCTTTAAAAAAAATTAAAAAAAATCCAAAAAACTATACGCTAGAATATTTAAATAAGTTTAAAAATCTAATTATTTAAACATGTAAATGTAAGTTATTTATATTATTAAATTTATTAGTAACTGATGGCAAAATATACTACTTTTTCCATTTTATGATAGATGGCGCTGTTTTGATAACTAAATCGGTGTGGTTTCATATTATTTTACCACCAAGGTTATAACTATATTTTAAACTTTATTTATAAATATGGTATTTATTTGAAAAACATCCGTCATTCCGCCTATATCTAAGATATAATAGAAAATTAACATCTAAAGGAAGGAAAATACTTAAACTTCTTTTTTTGAAGTTCCGTAATCGGATAAAAAGTCGCCTATAAGTTGCCCCAGGTTACTAACTACCTACATACAAAATTTCATGTAAATCGGTCTAGTAGTTTTTGCGTGAATCCGGAATACACAGACAGACAGACAGACAGACAAAAATTCTAAAAACCGTTAATTTGGCTTCAGAACCCTCTATTTGGTCCCCTGGACATATTTTTTTTTTCAAGAATATCTTAGAATTACAGACACGACTTTTCTACAATTTTATTATATATATAATATATAATATGGACGATAATAGTTATATAACATAAATTAGTACTGCTACCTTTACCTACATATATTATGTATGTATATATATATTATAAGCGTCAGTAGCCTAATGGCAGGGTGCGGACCGTGAACTCGAAAAGGTCGCGGTTTCGAATCCGCCATTCGACTGCTGTAGTGAACCACTTCCAACACAAGCATTTTAAGCTTACCAGAAGTGGATTTTATCGCGTTTAATTAACTTATTAAAATAAGTTAATTAAACGCGATAAAATCGCAAAAGTAGTTTTATTCAATGTGTAGTGTTCGCGTAAATATAAGAAATCATTACAGTGTTTGTTAAGTTAAAAAAAATCTCTTGTTTTAGGTTTTTTATAAAAGTGCAATTTTTCAAAAAAAATATAAAAGTTGGTGCAATCGGACACACCACACACAGTTAATTTATTTATTTATTCTTTATTGCATACCAAAAGAACACAAAGGACCGACTTGCCTTTAGACATTCTCTACCAGTCAACCCATAGAGTGGTGAGAATTCGACGTAGGTGTAGCAATCTATATCTATATAAATAAATAAAATCGAAGCGTCTGTTTTTAATGTCAAAATAACTTCTTTTTACTAAATGCATATATGGAAGAATATACAGTACTTACAACAAAAAAAATTTTTTTGGTCTATCTCTGTCTGTCTCTTTGTTTCGGCTAATCTCCGAAACAAAGAGACAGACATTTTTACGTGGTAGAGCCATGCTGCAGCTATATTAGTAGTATGGTTGTGGCACGGGTGCGTCGGCTCGACCGGGAAAGGACCACGCTCTCACAGAAAACCAGCGTAAAATAGCAGCTTAACGCTGCTGTGTTTCGTATGGTGAGTGTAGAGAACCGGAGACCCTTTTTACTGGCAAAGAGGCATTCCATCTCAGTCCTCACGGGTGACAATGCATCTGCATCTTGAGTCTTTTTTGAGGATAGATATAGATGTCTATGGGCCACAGCAACCACTTACCATCAGGTGGACTGTGCGCTCGTTTGTCACCCTATCCTATAAAAAAAAACGGCTTTGACGGGACCTTCACTGGCAGATAGCTGATGTTATAAGGAGTAACTTAGACTACTTTTATCTACTCTATCTATCTATATACTATCTGTCATAATTAGGGTTCCACCCAAAAAATTAAAACCCATGAAATCCAATCATAATAAAGTGGAATTCCACGCGGATGAAATCGCGGGGAACAACTAGTATATAATATAAAAAAATTAAACATCTCGTTTCTAGTAAAAAAGGTTTCCGGTAGGTACTCGCCACTTACCATACTAAACATAACATTATGCTACAATTTTACGCTGGTATTCTTTGCGAGCGTAGACCTTCCTCGGTTGATTCGACATACACTGCATCGGGGTACTACCATGTACGTAAATATGACTTTGTTATATTTAACAAACCTGCATAAGCTTGTGAACGACGTCTCGGCCTAGTATGTGATCGAATACGGCCTGCAAGAAACCGTCGGACATGATAGACAGCTTCAGTTTGTCCCGATGCCACACCAGCACGCGAGACTCCTCCATCGCCATTATTGACACCTGGAAATGATGCAAAAGATACATACTTTAGATGACAGAAGCTTTTTTGGTTATATATGGAACGTTTAGTTTGTAGTAAAAATGAATTGTTCATCATCATATCGATCCATTAAATCTGATATTGTAATATATTGTATGAAGGAATCGTAATTGACAACAACAACAGTTCTTCGATTCTCGTCATCGGCTCCGATAGAACAGCGCTGCAGAAACACCTCCGTAGCATCATCCTGAGTCAGTAGCCATTTCGCTGCTGCAATTCAATGCTTATATTATAACTAAGAAGTACCGTGTAGTAAAGAGTATCCACTACTCCATATCATTTCGTGGGTGTTATAAAAGTGACAAAGGGAAACAAATCAGGAGACTACACGTCTCCTTCAGCAGCGTTTTCCTAATAAAGACTAAAAATAAAAAAGCTGTGAGTATGAGGCAATCTATCACCCATATGTTCAGCAGTGGTAATTAATAGGCTGTAACGGTATAATAACAAAGTCAATTATGCTTCCTATTATGCTGCCGATGACAGCACAGTCACAGAGAGATTTATATCTAGTGCAAAAGACGGAGGGGCAGGCAAATTAACGTATTACTACGTTAATTTAGAGAGGCCATGGTGAAGCGGATAAATACGACCTTAAGTCAATGAGTCAGTCAATAAAGATAATCTGGTTGTTTTAACGCCGCCCAAACGCAGACATATCTGTTCTCTTCAAAGCGGAGTCCATTTGATGTGACTACTACTTTCCGAGCTACATCTGTAGAGGTTACTGATCCTCTTCAGGTTCTCGGCATACAGTTGAGTGCTAACCTCATCTTTGGCGCTAACATTGAGTTGAAAGCACAAACTGCGGCCAAAAACTGGGTATTCTAAACGAGGTGAAACGATAACTAACGTCTGGACAGCTTTTAACTCTATACTAAGCTCAAGTCCGAACATGCATGGAGTATTATAGTCACCTTTGGGATGGCTCAGCAAAATATAAACTTGTCGCACTTGATTCAGTGGAACGCAGATCCAAAAAGCTTATCTCACCGCCGTCAAGTTGCTTGTATGTCGGTATTTTACAGATTGTACTTCAGAGAGTGAGCTCATGAGCACTTCATTAGCTCATACCGCCATCTCCATTCGCCTATCGGAGTTCCAGACGTATTACAGGTTACCATCCACACTTGGTTGACACTCCGAATATTTGTACTAAGCGCTATAAATCATCTTTTAAAATGCGCACAGCCAAGGAGTGGAATGCCCTGGCGGCGTCCGTTTTTCCGAGTGTCTGTTTAAGTACCGGGAGGGATTGACTATCACAGCAGTAGTGTATTTCCAGCTATAAAATATTGTATCGGTTTATTCGTAACAATGTTTTTTTTTAGTGTTGAACGGGTCCGAATTCTGTTGGGGTCATCGCTTAATGAGGGCTACGTTCACCAGACGTCACTAGTTGGGACCAGGATGAACTTATTTGTTAAGCAGATGGTCACACAGTGTCATCATCATTGAAACTTTGTGTCGTAATTAAAAGTTTTTCGGTTTAATATAAATATACAAAACAATGCCTCAGTGCTGTAGTTGCAGTGAGGTTGTAGTGCTGTTTTTTAATTTTTTACTCATTTTTAACTTTTATTCATTCTTTTACTTTTAGGAATATCCAGGATTTGGTTTATCCATTTTTAGGCTAAGAATTGCACGCCTCATAACGCGAAGCGTTATGAGGTAGTGCTTTACTCTCGATACGTGAGGGTCAAGCAATTTTGTGTTATTAAAATGCCTCTATCATAACCATATTGCACTTATACGATAATATGTGTAGCCGTATATCAAGAAAACACTTTAATTAAAAACCATCTTATATTTTCTAAAAGATCATTTCATATTGCTACTTTGAAGAAAAAAACGGTTAGAAAAAATTTTACGTGGACGTCTGGATGTTGATTTTGTATGTGGTCACGATAAGTCCCGAAAAAAATTGACCTATCGAGACCGTTTTTTTTCTGCCGACTTCCAAAAAGGAGACGGTACTCAATTCGACGCGTATGTTTTTTTTGTGTGTTACCTCGTAACTTTTTACTGGGCTGACCGATTTCGAGAACTCTTTTTTATATGAAAGCTGATGGTTCTCGTGTGGTCCCATATGAATTTTATCAAGGTCAGACCAATGGTTATTGAGTTATTCTTAAATAACTTATATTGAAGTCGGCTGTACAAAATTTTTAATTTTAAATTATACAAGTATTATCGCTATTAAAAATTTAAAGGCCCTTTCATATTTTTTTAGGCCATGATAGACAAAGGACAAATGTACCATACAGCCTATATCGATTTTATAGTTTGTGTAACCGATTTATTTTGGTAAACATTATTAATTTTTTCCCTGTAGGTGACATTATCTATTAAAATAATAGAGCGCTAAATTTAAACCACGTAAATAACATATTTTAAGTCAGGAATACAAATTATTTTTTTCATCAAAATTAAATGAAACGCTCATGAGGCATGCACTTTTGCATTTTCCAAACTATTTTTTAGTATTTTGTATTTCTCAGACATGCAGGTTTCCACACGATGTTTTCCTTCACCGCCGTGCACGTGTATGTAGCATAAACAATAAAAAAATAAACCAGCTCGCGGTAACCAATTTCTTTTATGTTTCGAACTTTGGACTATTAAACTACGAAAAGCTTTGATGTTTTTTAAAAGAATCCACTACCACAAAGGAAAAATAAAACAGAATAGCATCGCTTAACTATTATAAATTATAACTAAGATTTCAAAAAAAAAACTACACTTTTCTAACAAATTAACTTCCTCCGCTATGAAATCAGTCAAATATTTTCACCTTATTTCTAAGTGGTGCCGCCCTGGTGACAGAAATAGTCGTGGATGCCCTCATTGTACTTATACAAGACCATGCCGTGTGGTGTGGTGGTGGCAAGAGAATAGAAAACCCATCATCTTATTTATTCCTTTGGGTGTAGTAAGAGGAGACTTTAGGAAATGGCAGAAAGGCCTAATGGCTTCCTAAAAATGGCGTTAAAATATCATTTACGGCAGATATAATACTCCAAAACTGCGATAAGCTGCAGCGTTTAAGGTCTGATACAAAGATCGTAAATCCGCTAGCCGATAGCTAGGCATTATATGCATTATACAATAAGGCTGCGTTTCCACCAGAGATGTGCGAGGCAGCTGGGCGGTGCGAGGATGCGTAGCGAGGCTATGGAACGGTGTGAGTGTTTCCAAGAAAGATGTGCTAGACCGCTGAGCGGTGCGAATATGCGTAGCGGTGCAGTGAAACGGTGCGCAGATGAGCGGTTCGAGGATGTGTAGCGGGCTCGTTTCAGATGCGAGCGGAGTGAGATTTGCTGCTTCTTGCGTCCTTCCCTAACACACATTCCTCGCAACACATCCCTCGCACACATCCTTCCCTTGTTTTGTATATACAAAAGCCTCGTTCCGCTGGGCAGAGCTACGCTGAGCGAAGCTAGGTAAATAAAGTGATTCTATTGGTTCTTAACAAACACATCCCTCGCTACGCATCCTCGCACATCTCTGGTGGAAACGCAGCTTTAGTCTATGTACATGAATAATATTTTTTTTAAAATTCTGTATCTCTGTCTGTCTGTCTCTCCCAGCTAAACATCGGCTTAGAGATAGCAATGCCAGATGTGATCTAGTCTATATTTTATCCGAAAAACTTGAAAACTTTTTTTTTTAGAAATGGAAAAATTAAATGGTCTATGAAGATTATCTCAAATGTACGTAGTCGCTAATATAATATAATATATATAATAATAAAAGTTACCTGAAAATATTCGTCCGTAGAGACGCCGAACCACTCAGGCGAATCTAAGAAGTGGTGCGGGAACACAATGTGGAGGGCGCGCTGGTTTTGTGACACCACCAGTCTGGAACACAAGATTTTTAGGTTAGTAAAAATTATTTGTTCTTCATCATCCGCCTGTCTACAGATGAATGAAACTAAGTTTTTAAATATTCGACGTTTCGAGTACTTTACAGCACCTATGGTGGGATTGCATTACCAGATGTTTAGCAATTTACTTTTGCTTCCCGTCGCCGGTGTGGGTGTTTTACTGTGTTGTAATGGTGGTGTAATATTATCCACTACTCCACCAGCTTTCAAATAAAAATGAATAATCAAAATCAGTTCACCTAGAAAAAAGTACAGAGGTAACACACATAGAAAACATATAGTCGAATTCAGAACCTCCTCTTTTTTTGAAGTCGGTTGAAAATGCTGCATGAGTGAGAGTCCGTTTTAGTCAGAGGTAAGGTCAATAGATGACGTAATTGTATCAACGTATATATTATAACTTACAGCAAGAAAAGCAACAATTTGGACGATGATTAATTAACAACGTTCCAGCAATTTTTCAGGCATCATGTGTTGAAGGGCAGAGTTCGGTCGCCAACTTAATTTTACTCGCATTACGTTAATTGCTTTAATTAAAATGAAAAATATGATGTGGACTTAATTTACGTACTCTAGAACACATCATCATCATAACGTTGGCGGCATGGTCCTGAACCACCTGCATCCATCGACTTCCTGCATATCTTACCAGGTCGTCACTCCATCTAGTGAGGGGACGCCCTACACTTCGTCCGCCGGTACGAGGTTACCACTCGAGAACATTTTTTCCCCATCGGTTGTCGGTTCTTCGAGCTATATAGCCGGCCCATTGCCACTTCAGTTTAATAATCCTAGGCTATGTCGGTAACTCTGGTTCTACTGCGGATATCCTCATTTCTAAGTTTATCACGCAGAGAAACCCCGAGCATAGCCCTCTCTATACCTCGCTGAGCGACATTAGAGCTTCCTCATACGGCCAGCAGTGAAAAACCACGTTTCAGTTCCATAGATCATCACTGGCAATACGCACTGGTTGTATAATCTAGTTTTTTTTTTTATAGAATAAGGGTGATAAACGAGCATACAGTCCACCTGATGGTAAGTGGTTGCTGTAGCCCATAGACATCTACATCTATCCTCGATTACAAATCAAAATGCAGATGCGTCGTCACCCGTGAGGACTAAGATGGAATGCCTCGGTTCCAGTAAAAAGGGTCTCCGGTTCTCTACACTCACCATACGAAACACAGCAGGGTTAAGCTGATATTTGACGCTGGTATTCTGTGAGAGCGTGGTCCTTCCCCGGTCAAACAGACCCATTCGTGCTACAACTACAATACTAATATAGCTGCAGCATGGCTCTACCTCCACCACGTAAAAAGTTTTTACCATGTAAAGTAGTTTTTAAGTTTCGAGGTATACCTGACGGGAAGATATGCCGTAATTTCCTGAAAGCTGCCCAGCCGAGTAGAATCCGTCGATTGTCCTCCAGCGATTCTACCATAAGGACTATATCGTCAGCAAATCGAAGGTGAGTGATGTACTCGTCATTAATGTTAATACCGTATCCTTTCCAGTCCAGTAGCTTCAAAACGTCTTCCTATGCAGCGGTGAAGAGTTTCGGGGAAATAACGTCACCATGTCTTACACCTCTCTGCAGTTGGATAGGTTTCGTACTCTGGTTCTGTACTCGGATAGCCATCGTAGCCCTACTGTACAAACACTTCGATTCTTCAGCACTTCGATATACCGACAGTCAACTTGACAACGCAGACGGGACTGCAGCACCGCACAAATTTCGACGGAATCAAAGGCTTTCTCATAGTCCACATACGCCTGACATAGTGGCAAATTATACACCTCGGACTTCTGTACAATTTGCCGAAGGGTATGTATGTGGTCTATGGTGCTAAAGCGTTTTCGGAAACCGGCTTGTTCGAGAGGCTGGAAGTCGTTGATTCTGGGTGCGAGATGATTCGTAATGACTCTAGAAAATAGCACGTAGACGCGGCTCAGAAGGGAAATCGGTCTGTGTGTCTTCAAGAGAGCATTGTCGCCTTTCTTGATGAACAAGACCATCGCACTTCTGCTCCACGCCTCCAGTGTAGTGCCACCTTGGAGGACGGAATTAAAGAACTTCTGAAGGACTTTTAGTACCGATTTTCCACCCGCTTTCAGAAGCTCCGCTGTAATTCCATCCTCGCCTGGGGCCTTGCCGTTTTTAAGGTACTGGAGGGTCATTCTAATCTCGCTCAGACTGACGTCTGGAATATCAACGGAATAGTGTCTATAAAAAGATTTTTTATTGTAGTTTTGCTGTTATCAGAAAGATGCTGCTGCTCATCTTCTGCCTCAGTTTCCCTCTGTCGCCTCGTACGACACCCACGGGAAGATATGGAGTAGAGGGTATTTTTACCAACCATTACACGGGGAACACATAAGCACAGATAATAAATTAAAAATTGGAACGAACCAAGAACGAACCTGGCTCCATTTTAACCGACTTCAAAAAGGAGTAGATTCTCAATTCGAGTGTATGTTTTTTGTATGTATGTTACGCGCTATCTGTGCACCAATTTTGATGATTTTTTTTATTAAATAGGTTATACTTCAAGAGTGGTCCCATATAAATTTGGAGAAGAAATTTTACCACTAAGGGTAGCAGTCGGTTTTTACTTTTTAAATTTATAATTATCACATTTATGTTTTTGTGTAAACTGTGTGTGTGAGAAAACTACAACTACAAATATAAAAATATCACTAATATTTATATAAATGTTTATATTACCTATATCAAATTTCATAGATGTCCGATTTCATAACTGTCTGATTTCATACCTGTGTTTCAGTAGCCAGTGTTCTCGGCCACCAATAATTTTATTGACCTTTCTCAAAGTTAACAGATAAGCTGATAGTATTACGAACTTCGATCAAAATCCACCGCAAATGTCAGTGGGAACCTCGGAGCAAATACAAAGTTTGTATTTGCTCCGTGGTTGGAACTCAGTTATACAAAACGTTTTTATTACAATAAATGTTGTGGACAAGTTACTTAAAGCTTGGAAATTAACTACGACTTGAACTTAAACTGCCTATTGAAACAGAGATATTTTTTAATGCACGTTGTGTTATAAAAGAAAAATTAAGACAAATACAAAAATCTCGTGATTGTTAGCGTAATAAGAATTTTTTGTGATTTCTCCACGCCAAGCCGTACTAGAAAATTAAACTTTTAGAGTTATTATGTGGGAATTATTTTCTTCTTTTTAGTTATTGAGCCCTGCTAGCTCAGTGGGTTAGCGCTCGCTGTAAAATTTCACAGTACGCGAGCAACCCGTTTTCGATTCCCACCGGCACTGAAATTGTTAATTGCAATTTTAAGTGCTGACTTACCACGTGATCAGCGATAAAGGAAAATATAGTGAATAAACCTGTATATCTGAAAAATAAAAAATATAAACATATATATTTTGAAGACATGTGAAGGCCGCCTACACGCACTGGGGCAGCGCGGCGGACACCCTAAACCCTCTAAGTGGAAACTTCCTTGCTCTAAAACCCTCTCAGAAGTGAGAGGAGGTCTGTGCCCAGCAGTGGGACGTATATAGGCTGTTACTTTACTTTTTTTTTTTATTGTGTCGGTTTGTACATTTAATAAAATTTACATTTTTGTATTCTTTCGAGTCTATTACAGTACAATTTAACACTAGAATGTCGTCTAAATATTTGCATTAGAAATTTCATCCCCTGTTTTTCCACCTTTAAGGGTAGAATTTTTCTCCAAATTTATATATGGTTACCCATGAAATTTAATCTATTTAAAAAAAACAGCTTTTCTCAGGTTCAACCGTTTCCCAGAAATCAGTGTATTTTACATAAAATGAAATTCACCATAATTATACGAGAACTTATTTCACCTAATTTCCATGTGAGGTTAAATATTACAATATTCGACTTAATATTAATATAATATTCAGAATGTTTTAAACTGTTGTTTCCGTAACAAATCGTCGTTAACAAATTAATGTAACACCTCGTTAACAAATGTATTGATGAAAAAATTATTTAGAAAAGTTATGAGAAATGGTGATGTAATAGAGAAATTAAAAGAAGTGCTTTACATAGGTAATAAAGTTTAAAAAAACGGACTTATGAATATAATGTAATACAATGATTTATGGTTATATACCATTTATATAACATTTATATTATTATATAATGTGTGATTATTTTATGGCATACATATATATCTTTATATATAAAATTACGTGTCACATTGTTTGTCCGCGATGAACTCCTTAACTACTGAACTGATTTCAATTAAATTTTGCACACTGTGTGCTGTTTGGTCTAACTTGAGAGATAGGTTTTTATCCCGTAAGTGACCATCAATTTTTTTTTTTGCGAATTTAAGTTTTTTTTTATTAGACAAAGAGTCGTCGGAAAGAGCAGAACAACGTCTGCCTGGTCAGCTAGTATATATATACCTACTATTTATATATTATATTAGTCCACATTATTATATTTTCTTTTCTGTCCATAGTATAAGAATGACTTGTAACATAATTTACTGCCGGAAATATATTTATGTTTACGTCTATCCTGAACCTACGATATTTTCTATCTATAATACTAATCCAACACATCCTTGGCCACTTGGTCATCAGATATGCCATCAAATATTACAAATAGTCTGTTCTTTCACTCAGCTCTTTTGACTATAATAGTTCCTTCCTTACAAAGCCGTGGCGTTCCATAAGTAATACAAAAATATAGACTAATGTTCGTAAAGGACAAAAATCCACGATGCGTGAAAAAAATGTTTGGCGGAACTTGCCACAGACTCAATGCACACGGTGTATTTATTTACCGGAAGTTTAGGGATGCTTTCGCTATGTGAATTTTCTGAGATTACTTTGTTTGTCATGTACTGGAAGCTTAAGAAAAAGATAAAACTTTCGCAAAGCTGTGTGCGTTGATACGCTTTGGCACGTTAGTTGTATAATTTCTTTCTTTTTTCTTTAAAAAAAAAAC